ATGAAATGACTTAAGGGATGTACTCTACAGGTGGGTCGCCGTCTTTTTCCTCTGAAGGAGCGGGTGTAGGCAGTGGGTGCTGTTATGCAAAAACCGCGATAGAGTGAAGCCGCGGAAGTCGAAGTGCGAAGTGGCGAGGGTTCACTGTATTCTGAATTACCTCAGCTGCTGTGTCATTAGTGCCATCTCTTTGCTGTAGATGTCTGTGGTGTCCCATTTAGCCCACTGTATTAGTTATATAATGTGTTGTCAATCTGAGAGGATTATGAGTGAAAAGGTGGAGTTTACCTGTCAATCAGGTCCTAGCCAATGAGATCTCTGTGTGGGCATGGCCTTCTCCTGAGGATTCTGGGAACTCCGGTATTCCTCCTTGGAGGGAGGAGACATACTCTCTCTCTGTTCCCTCCCTGCGAGACATCCCTGTGGCAAAGACACATGGAGAGAGGTGATGGAGTCAGGCATCTGGAACTGGAGAAGCCATGTAGAGACTCCTGTCTGCACTGAGATGCTTACGACGCCACTGGATCCACAAGACTTCCCACTGGCCTGTGATCTTCCTGCATTTGGTGTCATTGCATGTGTTTTGGGAGTGTGAAGAGGCCTTTCTAAATTGGTATTGGACATATGGGCTAATATTGTACTTATCTACTTGATCTGGATGGTCTGGGATGTTTTCTTAATGTACAGTTGCTCTTGTATATAGAGCTCTTTCTTATACCCATATGAGTGTCTATGAACTTGTTTCTCTAGTCTACCTAAACTAACACACCCACATTGGCATTCCAAAAGAGCTGCAGGAGGGGAAGACTTGACTGTTGGCATGATAAGTAGGTTTGAGATTTCTAGGAGATTATCAGTGTGGAGGCATTATCATCAACCCAATCTGGATTCCGACTGCAGCCCACTGTGTACAATTGTGAGTGAAACTAATTACTAACCTATTTAGCACAATGTCTAAGACCCAAGTATAATTATGTAGCTTCTAAGATCGTTCAGATCAATTTGAAAGCAGAAGTTTTTCTTTCAATGTTTTGCCTATCCGTCCATCCTCTATATAAACAAAGTCAGTGAGGGGAAAAGTTCCCAAAGTTGCTCTTTCTAATGATGGAGAGCCGAGTGTCATGTTGAGCCAAAATCTGCTCTGCTATGACAGAAGGCTGTTGGCAAAAATGTGCTGTCTTTCCAGAAAACAAGTCTATTTTCTCTTTCATCTGAGGGTCCTTCATATATTTTAAAGACTTCGCCCATATTTTCCCTCCTGGGTGCTACTGATTCCAGGTGTGCTGCCTGCCCATCCCTGCCTCTGGAGTGGTTTTGCATCTTCCTTCTTAATATATAATTCACATCAGTGAATAGCCCAGTATGACAATCTACCCCCTTGACAATTAGACTATTTGCAAAGAGAAACATTGGTTAATATTTTAATGTTTTAAGTTGTGAATGATTCCATGGTATGAAGCCATACACACAATGCATTGTTACTTTAAGAATAATTATAAAATATAAATTTGTGTCCCAGCCACCCAATTGAGGAAAGGACTTTATAATTCCCTTTAAAAAATCCTTTGTGCTCTTCCCATCAGGTAAACACTGTCCTAATTTTTTGTATTAATAATTTCCTTACATGTAAATGTATGTATACCTGAAAGCTATTGTTGGTTTTTGCTTGGGTTTCATATTCATGTAAATAGAATTGTTGTCTGTATGCTTTGGGGATCTGCTTTCTTTCTTTACAGCATGTTACACAATGTAAGTCATTAATCATTTATCGGTAGGTTCAGATTCCTGAATTAAAACACACACACACACACACACAGATATTTCCAATACACAGCCAGAATTGAGAACCTCCCATCCCCTCCTCCACTCCAACCCTGTACTCACCACGTCCACACTTGCTCAGTGGTCAAGCTCACAGTCTTTCTGTCCCTTTGACCTGCTGAATTTGTTCCCACTCAAGGACTTTGCCGTTGCTGTTTCCTCTGCCATGGAGGATACCACGTTATATTTAATCTGGGTTTTCCTGCTCTTTGGATTTTTTCTGAGTTCCCTTCTTTTTTATGACTTTACACTTTTGAGAAATAATGGTCAGGTGATTTTTGAAACGTTCCTCTATTTGAGTTTATGTGATGTTTTTCTCATGACTATACTGGGGTAATGGATTTTCAGGAGGTGGAATACAGAAATGCCATTCTCATCATATCAGGAGTACATGCTATTAATGTGGCTTGTGCTTTGAGGTGTGGTAGGTTAAGTACAACATATGTGTAAAAGAAGAGTCAGAGAGGCCTTGAAAACGAAGTAGGTATACAACACTTACAGTCCCCAGAAACAGGGAGGTCCATGCCATGAGGGAGGGACATGCAGTGAGTTACACCTAGGGGCAAGGTAATAGCAAGCTGGAATTGTAGGACAGGGGAAGTGGAGTGGGGTTAGCTAAATTGCCTGGGCTTCCTGGGGGAGTAGGGCACTGAATAACGCTGTAAGCTCAGGGGCACAGGGATATCCCTAGTTGGTGGGTATCTGGTGTTTAAAAATCCAAAACCAAGCCCACTGCTACAGAGTCAAGTATGACTCACAGTCGTCCTATATAGACTTTCCAAGGCTGACTTCCCCTTGTTCTCAAGTAGGATTTTAAGCATGGTTTAGGGGACTAAACTCACTTTGAAGTGATACATTAGGATATTTCCACCTGACACTCTTACCATAACTTTTTCAATGGCAAGTATTTTTCTATTTGCATAGTGACTCTTTTCTTCCCCTATGGCAGTGACATTGTCTGGTGTGAGGATAAGATCCCAAGGATATAAGAGTTGAAATTTGATTACGGACAAGTGGGAAGAAGAAGAGGAGAAATTAATCCATTTTGGTACCTTGAACTATTACCCTAGAGAATTTCTCAGGTGTATATATTTGTTGACTCACATAGTGTCCTGTGCTTTTTGCACAGTATCCACTACCAAATTAAAGGGTGCTGCCATGACTGTCCATGGAAAGTTGCCCTAGAGGTTGAGATCTGCACTATTAACTTTACACCAGGTGTTCTATTATTTCATTTTATTACATGTACTATTTTCTATATAAAGGAGTAGAGTGGCTTTTGGAGATAACAATGCCTTCATTGCAAAGCAATAATTCAGTGGGTGACTCTGAGCCTCGAGCTTTAATCTTTCCATTGGAAAGGTGACATGCATGGCAGATGACAAAAATTACAGTGATGAACATCCTGGCGTTCTTACCATCTACAAGGTACTTGCCAAGCACTTTTCAAAGGCCTATTGGAAAACATAAATGAGTCGAATTCATCAGGCAAGGAACTGAAATGAGCATGATTATGGCTAGATTGGAGATCCTTGTGTTGTTAAGAAACTTTGTTGAGTAGTGTATTGGAAAAATTTTTTTCAGTTGCTTGTCTTCAAGAGACAGTTTTAGAAAATGTAAGATTTAATCTCCAGACTGAAGTGGCCATACATTTGTTACAGCTAAGAACTGCTTCCCTGATTTTTTTCCAGACATGGCAAATCAATGGATGCTTTTTAAAGCTTTTGAATTATAAAATCCCATTCAAGTGTAACCTTCTAAAAGTCTATGCATTTTGAAGTATACTGTTAGAAGAATTCCAATACAGTGGACCCCCATGTAACCAGCACAAGATCAAGAGAGCGAACTATTACATACACCCAGATCCACCCTGCCCTTTCCATCGATCACTCCAACCCCCCACATCGGTGCCCTGACTTTAAAGTCACAGGTAAGGTTCACCTATTTTTGATGGCCAAGGGAATTAAGGATTTGGCTGTTAACTGAAAAGTTGGTGTTTGAAATCCA